TTTCCACGTCTCTCCCCTCTTCTTTATCGCAAGTGATAGCCTTCGCAAATTTCTGGTTTTTCACAAGTCTGATTTTCTTACAGGATACATTGAGAACTCGTACCCATATTTTCGAAGAATTTTCTAACAAGCAGCTAGCTGTATGAACATATCCATTGCCTAATTCTATTTGCTCGCAAACTATTAAGTTTCCTCCCAAGTTAACCTTAAGTTTTGCGTACACCATCGCGTCTGTGCGAGCTCGAATAGTAACATCATTTTCTAACATTATGCCTGTTTCCCAAGTATTTCGAGGAATTTTCACTATGGTTTCCTCAGTGGTTTGGTTTTCATTCGTAGAAATTGAGTAGAGGGGCTACAGGGTTACCAGCCCAAGCCAATCAGAGACCAGTATTTGTTTGGAGGTCACGCCCACTGAAAACGCGCGGAATTCAAATTATTCATACGTCGTCACGTGATCAGAATGACGCAAGAAATTATCGCTATCAGCAGTCGTTTCAGATGGGTTTTTCCAGAACATCCACATCGCTAATCAGTAAGTCACGTGGTATCTCCGCCAGCGTATAGAAGCGACGACGCAGCGCATCATCATTCACACTCGAGTCTGCAATCGTGAACGTTGTCTCTTGACCAGCTCCAGCCAAATCATCACTGTTTGTGTGTGTGAATAGTGAGTACCTCTTTATCAAAGTTTTTTTTTCATTCCATTTTGAGTTCCTTAGTTTTATATTATCGGCCCCTTTCATTTTATTTTGAAAATAATACAACTTAGTGCTCATCCCGCATCTACCTTTTTCATTCCAAGTTTTTTCGAGAGACAATTCAATGAAAGTGTCAATGATCAATCGCAGATTGATTTTATTTCTAGTTCTATCGAAAATAATCCATCCTAGTATCAAGCTCATCATGACTTTGTTGGACTGCTGATGTTTTTTGTCCTTTTTCTTCCCTTCAGATGGATCTTACTCAAATCAACGCAGCTTTTCTGATTGCTCCAAAACAACAGAAACCAAGCGTGAAGTTGATTGATCTCCTGCTCGGGCAACCTCAACCAATCAAGACAGCGAAAGTGGTCACCACAAAATTTGGTAAATCTGTTCTGATTGAGGTGGAGGACTCTGTTGTGTTCCTGCCCAGTCGTGTAACTGAGACCTATTTCCCCCACATTGGATATTTCGGTAGCGGGAAATATTCTGTAGTATTCAGAGAAGAGGTGCAGACTAGGAAGGCCAATCCAGCAGCTTCGTTTGAAATTGTGGAGAATTGAAGTTATCTCCATTTGTTTCATTTGGGTGAAATATCATCAATACAGCAATGAAGAGCATCAATAATACCTTGACCAAAGTTGACGAAACTCTCTTATTAAATGAGAAAAATTATTCGGAACCATTGGCACTTTTTGTATTGAAATCAATCCTTTCACACATACGGAAATGTATTTTAGCATTGAGAAGGAATACTTTTCCGATTGGTTTGAAGCGTAAAATTCAGATCGGGGAACTGTAACGGATGAAATTCTCCATCAAAACTATGAATAGAGGACATGTTGGCTCCGGCCTGAAGCCCTATATTCGTTGGATTGATGTTAATTCAATCTCCGCGTCGAGAGTGCAGACCGCTCTCATTCTGAATTTGAGACATAAGGAGATCATCGACTCTTTGGAGGATTCATTAAGATGAGTAAATGAGAGAATTTCAAAAATTTTGGGGCGCTTTTCAATGCTAAAAGTCAACTTTACATTTTCCGGTGACTTCATTAAGCAGTCAAATAATGGAAAATTGGTTGACCGCAAACACTTTTGTACTCCCAATGCCATCGTGGACGCAGGAACGGACCTAGCCGATTGGTTCATAATCAATGCGCTAGATGTGATCCTTAATAAACTTAGCGAATTTGCCGAGACAAATAGCGGATGGGCCTTGAGCGAAATTATTTCTCTAGAGGTTGCCATAAATAAATATGAAATGGGCAATGGCTCATCATAAATCAAATTGCCAGTGCAGATTGAGAATGAGCAGGCTTGCATTAACATTCAAAATGATGATGAGGCATGCTTCTTTTGGAGCATAGTCAGTTGTTTGCATCCCGTTGAATTGAAGTCATATAGAGTGAATAATTATCCTCACTATTCACAAGTTTTGAACATCAAAGGGTTAGACATACCAATGAAACTGCCCCAAATCACAAAATTTGAAAAAATGAATGATATTTCGATTAATGTTTATGCGCTAGAGTTGATAGAAGTCAACGAACGAACATTTTACACTGTCGTACCCACCAGACTGACTAAGCATAAATCCAATCAACACGTTAATTTGCTAATAATTCGAGACAAATATTTCCCAAAATTGAATGACTATGAAGCTCCTCCCAATAATGATAATGTTGAGGAAAACGTTTACGTGAAATATTACTATGTCTGGATTAAGGACCTTTCACGACTAGTTTCAAGTCAAATCAACAAATATAAGGTTAAGAAATTCATCTGTGATCGGTGCCTCAACTATTACCATTGCCAGGAGAAGCTTGATAGTCATGCCGCTCAATGTGAAAAAATTAATAATGAGAAAATTTCACTCCCCAAGTATGATTTTGTAGAATTCAAGAACCATGTGTATAAGAAGACATGTCCTTTCATCATTCATGCTGATTTTGAATCGCAGTTGGAGAAATGTAATTCCAAAATTTCAAAAACCACTTCAAAGTATCAACATCATAAAGCATACTGTGCTGGGTACTATTTTAAATGTTCTTGCGATGACTCGCTGTCATTTTATCGTAGTCATAGGGGTGGAGATTGCATGGACTGGTTTGCCCGTGAAATGTCTAAAATTGCCAAATTTGTCGAATCCAAATTGAAGAATATCGTTCCAATGGTAGTCATACCAGCTAGTACCAGTGGCGCAACCATCTGCCACATTCGCGAAGAGAAATTCAAGGCAAAAGACGTTATCGTACGTGACCACGACCATTTTTCTGGCGCATTCCGAAGCTTCGCACACCAGGCTCCCTGTAATCTCAATTTAAGGAAACTGTTCGTTGTTCCCATTACGTTCCACAACCTCTCAGGGTATGATTCGCATCTTATAATCATAGACATTTCCAAGCAGGGGCGTGTGAGCGTACTCCCGGTTAATCGCGAAAAATACATTCCCTTTACACATTATGATGATGAAACAAGCATAAAATTCCGATTCATCGACTCTTTCCGCTTCTTGGGAACCAGTCTCGATGCTCTAGTGTCAACGTTGAAAGTCGATGATCTGAAAATCCTGAAGAAGGAATTCAGTGACGTAAATGAGACGAAATTTGCATTGTTGACACGAAAAAGAGTATTCCCATATGATTATGTCGATAGTGTGGAAAGATTGGATGAATCCGAGTTGCCAAGCATTCAAAATTTCTACAACAAATCGAACGACAAAAATATTTTGGACATTGATTATGCGCACGCGCAAAAAGTTTGGGAATCTTTCGATCTGAAATCGCTGGGAGAATATAGCGACCTATATATGCGGACCGATATTCTTCTTCTTGCCGACGTCATGGAAAATTTCCGAGCATCATCACTGAAAACCTACGGTCTCGATCCTGCATGGTAATACACAATGCCCGGCTATACTTGGTATTGCATGCTCAAGTATACTGGGTGTAACCTTTTCGCGACGGGGTTTGTTTGGCGCGCGTGAGCCACCACAACGGGGTTCGAAAGCGCGTTCGCATTTATGCGGGTCCCGTTGTTTGAGCCCATTCTCAGAAAATATTTCGCAATGATACATAAAAAAAAACTCATTTTAATTTATAATTTAGTATATTTTGAACGCGAACAAACCTATCAGTAAACAGTGAACACAATACAGAATGCCTAGTGGAGGGAGGCCGCTTCCACCCGCTTCCCATCGTTGTAACATGTGTTGCTATCCGATCATAGACAACGCCAGAAGTGTACGAGAATCTCCGACCAAAACCATCTGAAGATGATGCAAATGGAGTAGATGAGACGATAGCGCGCGGTTCCCGTCGTTAGAACACTTCTCCGGTCGATTGAAAATATGCGGCTCCCGTGTATCAGATGCTTCAGTAAAATACGCATATATGTGTTTCCCGTCGCGAAAGGGGTAAGCTGCAAATCATCCAAGACATCGACATGGTGATGTTTGTGGAGCAGGTGATAAAAGGAGGAGTATCGGTTTGTTGCAATAGGTATAGCGAAGCAAACAATAAGTACTAGAAAAATTACGATCCAAAAAAGCCGTCAAAGTACCTTCATTATCTCGATGTAAATAACCTTTATCGAAAAGCAATGAGTGAACCCCTCCCTTATAGGGGCTTTACATGGGTAGAAAATGTTGACATTGATGTAACCCAAATTCCTGACAATAGTCCAGAAGGCTATATTCTCCAAGTTGATTTGAAGTATCCTGAGGGGTTGCATGACCTACACAAGGACCTACCATTTTGTCCCGAACACCGCACACCACCAAATTCAAAATTATCCAAATTGATGACCACGCTGTACGATAAAAAGTCATATACTTTACATTACAGAAATTTGAAGCAGGCATTAGAATACGGTCTGAAATTGACCAAGATTCATAAATAATTGAAGTTCAAACAATCCACGTGGCTAAAGCCCTACATCGAGTTGAATACTCGATTGAGGACTCTAGCCACGAACGATTTTGAAAAAGATTCAAGAAAATTGGTCAATAATGCTGTGTTTGGGAAGACGATGGAGAATATTCGTAATCATAGAACGGTTAAGTTAGTCAGAATGTATGAAGGCCGCTATGGCATTAAAAATTTAATTTCAAGTTTCCGATTCCAACAACGAACAGTTTTCGATGACAATTTGGTGGCAGTAGAGTTGAAAAAATCAGAGCTGATTTTCAATAAACCTCTCTACATTGGCATGTGTATCCTTGACTTGTCAAAAATCGTCATGTATGATTTCCACTACAATTTCATGTAGCCAAAGCTTGGAGCTGACGTGAAACTCATGTATACCGATACGGACAGCTTCATCTACGAAATTGTATGTGACGATGCGTATAGTGAGGTGATTGATGCAAATATCGAGAGATTTGACACGTCTGACTATGCTCCAGACAATATTTATGGTATACCTCGAGTAAATAAAAAAGTCTTGGGCCTATTGAAGGATGAGGCAAACGGTAAGATTATCACGCATTTTGCTGGACTACGGTTCAAGATGTACAGTTACAAATTGGATATAACGAATGAGGATATTGAGAAAGAGAGAAAGCGATTGGGAAGAAAGGGATTCAGTAAAGAACGACTAGATAGGGAATTGGAAAATTTCGGTATAACTAAAAAATCCAAGGGTGTCAAGAAATGCGTCGTCAAGAATAAGTTGACTTTTGATGACTATGTGGATTGTCTGACGGCTTGGGAAGAAAAGACCGTTGCCCAGCAAACGATTAGTTCCTACGCTCACGATGTTTTTTCCATCGAACAAACAAAAATTGGTCTGAGTCCCAAAGATGATGAGCGGAAACTAATTCACGATTCGTTTGACACACTTCCGTGGGGTCACTTCAGTTTGACGGATTGATTTTTTCCTAAGTATTTTTGCATCAAAATTTTCAAACCAACGCTGTTGTATTGATGACTCATTTTCCCATGAAAAAAATGTAATTCCTTTTATTCATCCAATAGTTCACCAAATTTTGTATATATGTATATTTCCAATTATTTAAGTAATATGTAATTATTCCTAATATTCATATTTCATTGTATAAACTTCTTATTATTTCTTTTTACATTTATACTATTTTACACTTTTACAATTTAAAATAAAGTAACAATTATTAGACTTTTCTGTGTATTCTTTTCCCACACCCTTGTCTGGATGATGTGTACGAGGAAGAGAGAGACGGAAAAAGAAGAGAGAGAGCGAGAGAAAAGAAAAGAAGAGAGAAAGGGAGAGGGAGAGAGAGAGAGGGAGAGAGATGTAATAAGATGTGGGTTGAAAGTATGGATGTGAAACAGTTGTATCATGTCATCTGACGAATACAGATGTGCACTAGAAGAATTTGGCTTGAAGGTTAGACAACTCAGCGCAGACATCCAATTGTATGAGCAGAAAGTTTGTCTGTTTAAAGATTTTGAAAATTTGAGTGTTTGGGACAAGGTGTTTACGGAACCGAGACGCACAGCTACACCTACATCGAGAAAAATAATTCAACCAACACAGCTACTAGATGGCGATAGTGAAAGCAAGCTTCATTCTATTGATCGCTCTGAGCAACAACGTTTTCTTCACAAACATACCGTACAATACGAGGAATGCAGCCGTATGTTCTGATGTGAATCGTACACAACAGTGTGATTGGAAGATGATGAGTAGAATGTATGTCAATGATAACAAACTACCTGTATATTCATTCGACATGTCGCAACATGTTAATGAAAGCAGCATCCACTATGAATTGAAATTATTGTTTACTGATGGCAGTGACGGCGAAATGGGAGACACTTGCATTGAAAAAATCCTCCGAAAAATTGGATCAAGATACTGTCAATTTCATTGAAATTTTGACACTTTGTTGTTCACTAATATAATCAGTTATTCAAATCTCAATTGTTATTGTTGGAATACTGAGAAATGAGGAATGTGATGAATAAAAACTCTGAAATTATTATATATTTTTTTTATTTTGGCAATAAATTACATAACCAATTATATAAAGTATCGACATTGTGAAGACTGCACTGGAACCTTCCTCCAGCTCCAGCAGTAACGTTGCTATCAATGTGAATGGTTCTCACTTTGGTTATGCTGACCGGCAAATCGGAAGTGTGGACTTGTTGTGCTTTCAACAATCTATTTGAAAATCCCAAGACTTGAGCTATGCTATCCTTCGGGCGAAAATCGATGGCAAACCTTTGGCTCGAAACCCCACACTTCAGTGTATTATTGTTGGGCTTCAACGAGAATATATCATCAACGTCCTTTGCACTCGATATACCCAATTCTTTGCGTATAAATGTCCCAATGTCCACAATGTCGTATGAACCTTCGGGAATATCGATGATCTTTCCCGCCTTGGTATCATCTTGCAGATAAAACTTTGATCCTTGGTCGATATTTGGTATACTGTTGTATGAATGGAATCCCAACAATGCTAGTCCGTAATCAGAGTCTGGATCGAGTTGAAATGGTGTCAAAAAGTCTATGGAGAGCGTAGATGTACGACCTTTTAACGTCACAATCAGAGACATGACTGATGCACAATGCCTGTGTTACTTGGTTTCATTGAAGAAGAATTCTAGACATAGACGTCCACAATTACTTTGATTGAAATTTTGGTATCGCTCATTATTGTACATGATTTGTCTTTGATCTTCTTCGAGCTTTTTCTTTGCATTTTTCGCATCAATGACTGTCTTTGCGACTGCTCTGGCTCCTCCAGCTAGAGATTCTAGGGCTCCCGAGGCAGCAAATATTGGTATCAATGGTAGTATACCGTCACTGTGTGGAAGAGGTATGATTCTTGGTACTCTGATTCTTTTTTTACCGCCAGCCCTCTTGACTGCCATTCTGGCTGCATGGAGTGCTTTCAATGCAGATTTATTCAGACCACTTCCTGATGTTGTATTACCATCACCATCATCTGACTTTGCGGACTTCAATTGAACATTTTTCATGAATTTGATAATGTTGGATAGGGATTGCTGTGATACAAGACCCATGCCAAGTTTTTGTTTGACCTTCATTCCGGTGGTGACAGGTCGAGCAGCAGCCTTCTTTTTGAATTTAGCGCTCTTCGACTTGACTCTCTCCCACGCTCGATTTTTCAATATCCAATTAGCTTTGTGTCTGTCTTCTATCGAGGAATTTTGTGAATAGGCGATATCGTGTTCTCGACACGCGTCGTCCAACGGATTGATGCCGGTGTCTCCTCTAGCAAGTCTCTTATCGAGTTTGGTGCCTGAACAACAAAATCTGTAGCCTGGAATGTGCAATTCGATGGAAAGTTTATCGATCAGAGAATGGGGGAGACCACTGATTCTTTAAAATAACATCATCGTGAACTCTATACTGGAAAACTACCAGCGAATTAATTTCGATTTTTGTCATGCATGCTAAGACGATGAAAATAATAAATTAGAATATGTCCATTACAGAACACACAATTCCTGCGCTATTTGAGATGTTGTCAATTCATTGGTGTGACTGGTGCGACGTCTTATTCCCAACACGCCTATTGTCCTTGAACTGACCAATCACACTGCAACACTGCAGAATGACAAGGTATCAGAGAGAGATAGCTACAGTTCGGTACTAATACGTCACGACTCCACCATCATATTTGGCTGTTTGGAATATCGAATGAAATATGCTGATTTCAAAACGATATTGATTCAATTCCCTTCAACTTCAACCCATAATATTGATTGTACATCAAACGTAAATCATGATTCGTCGATTGAAAGAGGTTCGCACGGATTTCTTCTCTCAGTGGTCTTCCCCATTAAGCACACCCTCTCCGTGGTAGAGCAACATGAACTCTCATCAGATGATGGAGATCGTTCAACAAGAACGGACGTTGCCCATTGGGAATTTGGATGAAATTTCATCAATCAAGTCATCGGGTAGTGAACATGGGAAACTGCTTCCCCATTCGTTCAGAGCAATCTCTTGCGGACCAAGCGGATGTGGAAAGACCAATGCGATGCTTTTCCTGTTGTTCAATCCAAATGGCGCGAAATTCAAGAACGTTTACGTTTATTCAAAGTCGTTGTGCCAGCCGAAATATCAATTGCTACAACAAGTGTTGGATTCAGTGAAAGGCGTTGGTTATTTCCCCTTCAAAGAGAATGACGAGGTCATTAGTCCATCAGAAGCGAAGAATCACTCGATATTCATTTTCGATGATGTGTCATGTGACAAGCAGCAGAAAATTCGAGAATATTCCTCAATGTGTAGATACAAGGACATTGACGTGGCATTCCTATGCCAGACCTATTCCAAGATATCAAAGCAGCTGGTGCGAGACAACAGTAACCTGGTGGTGTTATTTCGACAAGATGAAATGAATCTGAAGCATGTGTTTGATAAGCATGTGTCACCAGACATGTCATTCGATCAATTCATAGCGTTGTGTTCAGATTGTTGGAATTCCAGCCAATATGGCGCGATGGCGATTGCGAGAACTTTTGACATAAACGCTGGCAGATACAGAAATGGTTTCGATAAGTTTATAGGGCTGTGATCTTTGGGACATTCATCAAGATGACGTTAACCGGGATGCATGATGACGTTGCTGATGCGCTAGGCAAGAAAAAAATCAATGAAATATCGAAATCAATCAGACGGAAATATTTAGCTCTGAAATTAGGCAAGTCTGAGGATGATGAAGCGTTACAGAAAATATTTCAACCACTGACATCACCTTTGAAACAAATTGCCTCCACGTCCAAGGTCATAGAAGAAAAACTCGATGGAACACTTTCAAACATCAAGCGAAGCAAAGCAAAGTCGTTGGGGTTGAAGAATGAGAAGGAGAAGGAGAAGAAGGAGGAAGAGGATGGGGAGGTAGAGAGGGAGCAATCGGATTTGAATCAAACTAATTTCATACCTATGATGGATGTGGCTGATAATGCTGGGCATACTGAAGATGATGATGAGGACGGTTATGACAATGCTGATGATGAACTTTTTGCAGATAGTGAAAATATCTCACCGGCTGCAATACATGATTACGTCGATCAGTATCCTGCGATGGCTCAAAAATATCTGACTGAATACAAGACAAATGATGAAAATATCGATACGGTTTATGGTCTTAAATATGATCCAGTAACATCGAAATGGTCTCTCAACGGAAAATAAATGAATTTCCATCGAAGAACTGGAGATATACTTCTTGATGGCTAACGGTTCCGTGGCACCCCAGGACTCTATCAATTACTCTTCTATAATGATCCATTTTTTGCCAAATATGATATGAACCCATACGAGCAAAATACTCTTGCTCACCAAAGCTCATCTGAATTCTGCAGGACGTATGAAGTCTTCCTCTAGACTCAAAAACGTAGAAATTATTCGTCCAATGTTCAGATCCAATTCCAGTGGTCGTGGTTTGAAGTTGACATACAACACAGCACCTATCGAATACATGTATTGGGATGATCCAAACGAATTAATAGATAGATTGAAGTTGCTCATTGCATCACAGCAAGCCGGAAATACATCAAACGATAATGAAATTGTTGCCATCTTGAACGAATTAGAAGAGGCAGGCATAATAAAACATGTGTGACGATTCGGTGACATTTCCGTGTTCCATGACACTTGCGTGACACTTCCATGACACTTCCGTGACATTTCCGTGACACTTCCGTGACACTTCCGTGACACTTCCGTGACACTTCCGTGACACTTCCTTGACACTCCCGTGAAACTTCCGTGACACTTCCATGGCATGTCTATGAGTGGCGGGGCTAATTGGCGAGACAAAGTGCCGACCATTATCGATAACGTACAATACTTCAGTCATTAGCATAATGAGTCTCGACAAATTCGGACGTGGTTCGTTCCCACGCTCAGCTCAGATGGTGACAGTCAGATTTGGATTTTCACATACTCCAACCGGTGATGTTGATATTGGTCATTTGAAGATGTATAACGTAAAACTGCCAACAGATGCCGCTGATGTTGCAAACAAACAATATGTGG